AGGGACAGCACAGGAGGGGAGGACCCTCTATGAGGTGGATTGATTCAGTGAGTGGGGTAATCGAGATGGACGTGTCAGAGACAGTGAGAATAGCACAGGACAGAGCAGAGTTTAGGGCTGTTGTACATAGGGTCGCGATGAGTCGCAGGTGACTCGACAGCACTTAACAACAACAACAATATAGAACGGGACATATTTGGTAAGAGGAAGCTATGGTGCTCTATCAACAATTATAGGGAGAGTCAATGCTATATCTGAGTTGGCACTTTATTTGACAACAGAGTATTCTTCATCATTTCCAACTCTAATGCAGCCATGTACACTCATTTACAAAATAAATCCAAGTGCCAGAGTGGAAACTTCCAAATCATCTAAATTATAATTATCCTATCACAAGCTAAGGACTTGGGAATATAGACTATCATTTTTCTGGCGTGCTGATAGTTTTCTTCTACAACAATTAATATTAGGGGGGTGTTTTCCAAGTATTTGTATGCCATCTGTTGAACACTTCAATCCTCACACTGTCATAGAAACATGGCCAAATGTAAGCTGTCCATCTGTTGAAATAACTATTAAAACAACTCTATGGAAACTATTAAATCTAACCACCCTCTCAAATATGTTTGAGTCTTATTAGTATGACAATTAGGCCACATATGTACTAAAAAGAAAAATAGATAATATATTATGATATAAACAAACACATTTTCCTTGAATAGGAATTTGCAAGCATACACAGCTGCCTACTAGAATTCTGAGACCAAGCCAAGCATTTAACACCCACCATTTGAACACAGAGTGCTCTGAAGTATAACATTCTTTTCCAAATGTACTATCACAATTAACCCTACTTAATGAAAACAAAATCATAAATATTTCCATTAGTTTTTATGTTATTATTCCATTTTACAGATAAAAGATCACTGTGGCAAATGCCAACAAGAAATAAAATAGCACTGAAATATTTAAATTGTAAAACATGGAAGAGAAAATAACTGACTTAGGTATTAGGCTCAGGTTTTTCAGTTGATAGTTCTGGGATTTGGTCAAGTCACTCAAACTGCTGAAGTTCCATTTCTTGCATCCAAGTCTCCCACATAGGTGAGAATTTTGCCCCATGTCCCCACTGTCCCCACTCCTGTCTTCTCAGGGTTGAAGTGGGGACAGTGGTGGCTCAGGGGTAAAATTCTCACCTATATGAGAAACTTGGATACAACTCTTTGCTAAAGTTCCTCATGGACAGCCACCACAGCCTTGTTGCTATTATGTTGAAAAGGTTACTGTAAAACTTTTAGACTAAGAGAAGGTAGAAAGAAAGGTCTGGTGATCTACATTTCCACCCTTTTCTCTTGTCAAAATTTAAAAATTTATTTTTTTATTGGCTTGCTTCCAAATTTGTATACATTGTGCTTTACACTATTCTTCATTCATATTGTGTTTATAGAATTATTCTTTTTTAATACAATTATTCTAATGCATTGTTTTATAAAATTAATCACCATTGTGCCTTCTCCATCAATACCTTGTATTTTCACTGGAAACTTTCTCATTTCCCTCCCCTCTTCCTCCACCCACTGAACTGTGCAACCCTGCGGTTTCACACCTACCCATTCTCACCCTTCCACTTTCACCCTTACCCCTCCTACTTTTAAAAATCAGCCAATGGAAACAAGCTCCATGGGTCAAAATGCTCCAATCATATTGTATCATTACATTTAGGGGCCAACACAAGGCAGTCAACAAAATGAGAATAAAAACACACAATAGAGTTCTCTAACACAAGAGATTTCTGGTAGCACAGTCCATGGGGAGTTGTGCTGCTAACTCCTAGACGGTAGCTGTCTGGTAGTGACATTGCGGGAAAAAGATGGATAATCTCCTATGCAACTTACATCCTCTGAAAACCCAGAGGAGTCAGTCATGAGTCTGTTCCAACTTGGCAGCAATGAGTTTTTTAGTAACTTATCTAAAAAAAA